CCGTTTTTGGTTTCCCACCTTGCTCATGGGGATTTGTGGGCAGTGTCGGAAACTCACCTTTGCCAGCAAGGGATCAAAGACTTCCAAGCTGGCCTTCGTTTTGCACAAAGCTCTTACAAATGTGTTGCAGGATTTCCTGTCCCTGCGCAGCGATCACGTACCCATCAGGGCCAATGGAAAGGGGTTGCAATGATCTCTAGGTTCCCAACAAGAGCATTGCCGATGCATGGCCCAGCTGGAATTTTTGAATCTTCTCGAGCTTTAATTTCTGCCACATTGGTTCATGATGTCTGGATTACGGGAGGACTGGTATACGGTGAACCAGACAGCCACCTGTACCCACAAAGAGAGCAAAACACCCAGCTTCTTCTGCACTCAGTTGCGAGCCAGGTTTGTGGCCTTTCCTGTGGCCCACGTTTTGTTGCGGGGGATTGGAATTGTGAGACCAACAGTTTACCAGCTTTTGACCTTTTGCATAGCTATGGATTTCGTGACATCCAAGACATTGCATGGGCCCGTTGGGGTACTTCTGTTGTTCCAACTTGCAAGCACAAGACCAGGAAAGATTTCTGCTTCCTGTCTCCCGAATTCCAGGCCCTTTTGTTGAATTGTGAAGTGGTCCAAGATGTTTGGCCAGACCATGCAGTCTTGCAAGGTACATTCCGTAGCCTCGCCCAAGTGATACCCCGGCAGATATGGTGTAACCCAAACCCCATGCAGTGGCCCCCACATTGGGAAGTCGACCCCACAGTCTGGTCTCAGTCATGTGCTACTGTTGATGACAGATATGAAGGTGTGTGGCAACACATTGAATCCAGCGCGGTGAAAGCTCTACCTTTTCAGGTGCCTAAGTCACAGCTGGGGAGAGGGGCGACCAGAGCCACCAAAGCAGTTGTCTCAGGCAAGATCGCACCAATCAAAAAGGGACGCAATGGAGACTTTGCCCCACAGTTTTTGTGTGCATCATTTCGACATGCTCAATGGGTAAGACAGGTCCGTAGGTTGCAGACATATGTGCATTTTGCCAGCCAAAACCAACACCTGAGGGATTCAACTCACTCCCTTGCACTTTGGGGTTCAGTTGTTCGGGCTAAGGGGTTCCTTCCCTCCTTTTGCAATTGGTGGCTTGAGTCCAAGTTCCGTGTTCATGGCTCTCCCGCTGCAATCCCGATTTTGCCTCCCACTGCTGCCCTTGCAGGACTCATTTGCGATTCGGTTGCGCTTGCAGTTAGAGCCTTTGAAGCCCAACTGAAGAAATCCTCCCGGGCATATGCACGACTTCGCAGGGAATCCAACCCTAACATGGTCTTTCAAGACATCAAGACACATGCTGACAAGGGTGTGGAATTGTTGTTGAACCCCATCGTGGCCCGTGTTGCAGATGTGGATCATTCTTCCTCTGCGTTGGTTTTTGACCACCCACCCAATTTTGCTCCTGATGCGCCCCTGTGTTGCAAAGGACGTCCGGTCCATGTTATTCATGCTGAAGAGGACAGTTTGTGGGTTGAAGATTGCACTGATGTACTCCCTGGTGATCAGGTTGTCCAGTTGAGCATGATAGGAACTGACCAGCAGTTGTTTCAATCGTTCCTTGCCTCATGGAAAGAAAAATGGGACCGCCATGCCGAAGTACCCGCTTCACGATGGCACACCATTGTCGAATTTGCCCGTGACAAATTACCTAAGATTGAGATGAAGTGGCCTGCCATTGACCCTCAGTCCCTTCACGAAACTGTCAGACAAAAGAAGGCAAACACCTCGCCTGGCCTTGATGGGGTGAAACTTGGAGACCTGCGAGCTCTGCCCAATGAGGCTTTGAACAACTTTTGTGACATGTTCCAATGGGCTGAAACTTGTGGAGAATGGCCAACTCAGGTTGTTTCAGGCCGTGTTACCAGCCTAGCCAAAAATGACCAGCCTAGGACCCCAATGGACTTTCGACCAATCACGGTGTTCAGCATTTTGTACAGGTGCTGGGGGTCGTATCATTCCAAACGCATTTTGCAATGTCTTGACCCATACTTGCATGTTGGTTTATTCGGATCTCGCCCAGGCTGTTTTGCCGGTCAGATCTGGTCACAGGTGTTGTGGACCATTGAGCATGCTCACATTCATGGAGTCCAACTTTGTGGACTCCTAGCTGACCTCCACAAAGCATTCAACATGTTGCCTCGCACGGTTGTCTTTGAAGCCTGTGCTTCAATAGGAGTTCCACTCCCAGTTTTGGTTGCATGGGCTGGTGCACTCAGCAGTATGACCCGCAGGTTCCAGATCCGTAACTCCATGAGTCCGGCAGCTCTTTCTACATGTGGATTCCCAGAAGGTGACGCCCTGTCTTGTGTTGCAATGATGGTTGTTGACATGATTTACCATGAATGGTTCCACCAACTTTTGCCCCTGGCTCGACCTCTGTCGTATGTTGACGACTGGCAAATGCTTGTGTGTGATCCTATGCAGATGAGACTTGTTGCCTCCACCCTGGATGCGCTTGTTGATGAGCTTGATTTGGTGTTGGACAAAAAGAAGTCCCACGTTTGGGCGGTTCAACCGGAAAGCCGTGCTATCCTTCGGCATCATGGTTTTACTCTGGTGGCTGCGTGTAAGAACTTGGGCGCTCACATCCAAGTTACCAAACTGCACACAAACAAAACCCAGATGGAGCGCATCGAGTCATTGCAGAACCTGTGGCAACGATTGCGGTTGTCTACATGTTGCTACTCTCTCAAGGTCCGTGCCATCAAAACTGCAGCCTGGCCTAAAGGGTTGCATGCAATTGCAGCTACGACCTTGAGTCGCAGTACATTTCAAACATTGAGGGCAGGTGCCATGCGAGGGTTAAAAGAGGATCACTCAGGTAGCAATGCCATGTTGCATCTCGGCCTTGTCGAGGAGCCCACTACAGACCCTCAATTTTGGAGCATTTTTCAAACTTTGCGTTTTGTGAAAGACTGTGGGCGAAAGGATGTTGTACAGGACGCTCTTGCAGAATTTGCTCATGGGAAACAGGTCGTTGGAAACACCATCACTGCTAATTTGCTCAACAGAATCCAAACGTTAGGCTGGCATGTGAATGACCTTGGTAAGCTGGTTGATTCCTTTGGCATGTTCTCCCTCTTCTCCATCTCTTGTGTTGAGTTGAAGCTTAGGATGGAATGGCAATGGCTACAGGTCGTGACAAATGCCACTCAGCATCGGCTCATGCTGGGTGATTTGGACCGTGTTTGGCCGCTGAGCACTCGACAGTGGCTGCAGACCCAGAATCCTAGCGACCAGGCCCTTTACCGTAAAATCCTTAATGGCACTCATATCACTCAGGATGGCAAGAAACACTGTAAAGAGTCTGATGATGAACAATGCCCTTTTTGCCCTTGCAGCGACAGCAGGTTCCACAGGTTTTGGCAATGTGAACACTTTGAGTGGGCTCGCAGCCATGTGCCTTTGCATGTGCAATTACAAATTGCTGAACTGCCCGAGGCGGTTTCTTGTTTTGGGTGGGACCTCTTGCCCTCCACGATGCACGAGTGGTGGGAACATTTTGCTTCCATCCCAATGCCATTGCAGGTGCCTGCCTCAGTTGTTGCGGGCCCGATTCACCTTTTTACTGATGGGAGTTGCCTGTTGCAGAGTCATCAACATTTGCGTTTTGCTGCCTGGGCGGTAGTGCTTGCAGGACCATGTTATCATGACTTATCGGCCACCAGAATCATTGACAGTGGGGTCCTGCCGGGCCTTTTGCAAAGTGCGGTTAGAGCAGAACTTTTTGCCATTTACCGGGCTTTGGAATTTGCTGCTGCATTGAAGGTTGAAGTCACGATTTGGTCAGATTGCCGCTCGGTTGTTTTAAAGCTCTGGAGAATTATGAATGGTGCACAGGTCAGACCCAACAGTACTCATGCTGATTTGTGGGTAGCCGTCCAACAGTTGCTGGAGCAGATGGTAGGAATGGTCAGTGTTCGGAAAGTGAAAGCACATACTGTTATCACTCCTGCTGTCCAACCTTTTGATGCTTGGTGCTACGGGCACAACAGTATTGCCGACAGAACTGCAGTTTGTGCGAATTTCCGCAGATCGCCGCACTTTTGGGAACTGCAGCGCAGGCATTTCCAGGCTGTTGAGTATTCGCAAGGAATCTGTGAAGTTGTTCGTAATGTTTTGCTCTCTATCAGTAGGGAGGTGGTCCGAAATCAAACCCTACAAGAGAACCATGTTGAAGCAGTTGTGGAAAATTTTTCTTTGCCAATGCCGCCATGGGGAGGACTTGTGCCGCTTGCGTTTCCGCCAGGGGCCATCAGGTGGTATGGACAAGAGACAGTCCAAATCATGCTTAGCTGGTTTTGGGATGTTCTTTTCACAAGCAAGGCTTCCATGAAATGGGTCAGTCACTGGCAGCTGTATGCAGACTACATGGGGGCAACAGGAAACCCTGGACCGGTCAAGGAAGGTTCTTGGAAAAATGGTGCCTATATCCCAATGCTGACTCTGAAGGGTTTTTCATTTAAGCTTCGTGCGAGGTGGTTTATCAAATTGCTGAAAGAATGCCTGCGCCATTTGGGCCAGAAGATCGAGTACGCAGTTGGACTTCCTCATTCTCACATGATTAAGACCCATACTGGACTATTCGCCTTACCATGGCCTAATGATCGTTTGGATGCAATTGACGATTGGTTTCTCAGCTGTGTGCCTCATGCCTTCTTTCGGCAGTCCAAAGCGGTTGAGTCGCTTCCGTATGTATCCTTCATCAAGGGCATCCCCAAGGCGTTTGTGTCCACTGTCGGTTAGGTCACCCAAGACGGGTAACGTTTCCCGAGACGTTGCGCGCACAAGAAAGTGAGAAAGTGGTGGTTTGGAACATGTTGTGTTTTTTTCCATATATTGGGAACGTCATAATCCCAACTGACTTTCACTCCATCATTTTTCAGAGGGGTAGGTCAACCACCAACCAGTTACAGATGGGATTTTCCATGAACTAACCCATCCAGGGAGCTGGGGGCTCATCTTAGGTCTTTTTCATGCCCCAGAAGCCCTACATGTTTTTGGGCTCCTTGAAAGACCAGCTGCTGTATCCCAACGTGAAGGACCGGTCGGTTGGATGGTTGGATGGTGACGAGCACTGGGCCAACCTTTGATAGGTTAAATCTGGTTAAGTTATCCACAAACGGGGAGCCATTTGTGTGAGACAGGAGAGAAACCAATTGGAGCTTGCAATTTTGCATGGCTTTGTCATGAGCGGCTGTACAAAGACGTCTATGCTTTATTTTCAGTGAGCAGTGGGCAGTCCATGGTGAAGTAGTTGGGAACCATGCTGAGTATACCGGTCCCTTATTGCCAAACTGCCAAACACACCACACACCTTTTTTTAACAATGGTTCCAAACCACTTGGTAGCTACTTGTCCCACGATGGCAACTGCACTACTGCACTACCATCGAGGTAGGTTCTACATCTCCTGAAAGCTATCGTGTGTTGTATTTGAAAAGGGGTGTACGTGTTTGAACGACAATTTTTGGGCTATGCATTTGATTTCAGCGGGCGCACCCGTTGTTGCAGATTAAAACAGCTTAAGTGAATAGAGCCACAGAAGAAAAAAAAACAAAATTCAATGAATGAATAGCTGTCCAGAAAGAAATGTTAAATGGGCATGCCACAGACAACACACGTAACTCACGTAACAACAGGTGTGCGTGTGCGTTGATTTGCACATATGTACGTTAGTAACAAATTCACAACATCTGCACCCATGAATATATACCCTCTGGTAAACTAACATAGCTATTGAAAATGGCCATAGAAATAGTGGATTTACCCATTAAACATGGTGATTTTCCATAGTTACGTTAGTTTACCAGAGGCTACATAGAGTTTTTCGATGTTTTTCGGCATCATCCAGCTGTTGGATCCATGACACAGCGTGCAAGGACAGTCTGTTAGGAGACGGTGAGATTGAGCACGCCTTGAGACAAGTGAATTTGCATCATTTGTTGGAGCAACTTGGCGGGGCCGGTGTCAAATCTCAGCAATTTGGTGTTGTGAGATGTTTGAATTTTAACACTATATTGCATCTCACAACATATATATATATTGCATCTGTTTATACACTATATATATATAATATGCGCAATTTGGTCAGCTTCAAAGATATCCGCTTCGACATCCCTGGTAGCGTAGTCATTATATATGTAATGTGCATGCCATGTCAGTGACATATATTTATCGTGACGAGCCATGGTTCCTTGGTGGGAAGTTTTGATTTGTTGTCTCAATAATTTTTGAGGTTGTATTTTTCTTTTTGCTGTGATTACTATTATGGTTCAATAATCATAATAAACATCATAAACCATATTACGAGGTGATACTTCATGATAGAAGGCCCTATAGTCAGGGTGATGGGGTATTTGAATCTTGCGTAGCTTCCATAAATGATCTTTCACTGTCATGCGAGAAGTGATCCATGATTGAAGGTCCAAAAACAAAAAGCAGATCCAACGACTCACCACAACAAAAATACCGCAGGTATCATCGGGTAATCAAACCTGGCAATGACAAAATCCACCATTTACAGACTATGGATGATTTTCCCATTTACAATAAACCTCCATTTAGTTTAGGGATTTTCAAGCCACGTTTGAGGACAGCAGTAAGCATCGTTGCTATTTGGCTACCGTAGCCTAAACAGACCTGGCACCCAGGCAGCATAGCTTAGAAGAATCAAAGGAGTGGTCCAGTCTTTTGCGTCTTGGCGCAGAGGAGAGATAGCTATGGGCAGGGATCTGTCATCCGGTATGATATAAGTTATAAGATATTTTTCTATGTATATATATATATATAATATGTGTGTGTGTGTCTATGTATGTAGACATTTGTTTGGATTAGATAATTACACATGTTTCTGTAATCTCTTCCTTTTGCACAAGGTTACTGTTTTGTGTTTTTTCCCCACCTGCCAGATGAGGGTTGTTAGATTTTATCAGAGCGCATGCCCGCCCGCCGCCTCTTCCTCCTCCTCCTCCTCCTCCTCCTCCTCGACTAGCTGTCCTCCTCGCCCTCCTCCTCGCCTCCGCCTCTTCCACCTCCACTTCCGCCTTGCCAACCTTGCCAACTCGTCGCCAAGGTCTTCGCCAACTTCCCAGCTCAGTGCGCACTGCTGGACCTCAACCTGCGAGCTGCCCTGCTCAGCGTACACCGCTGGACCTCAACCTGCGAGCTGCCCAGCTCAGTGTGCACCGCTGGACCTCAACCGGGGACCTGCCCAGCTCAGTGTGCACCGCTGGACCTCAACTGGGGACCTTCCCAGCTCAGTGTGCACCGCTGGACCTCAACCTGGGACCTTCCCAGCTCAGTGTGCACCGCTGGACCTCAACGGCCAGATAGAATGCCAGAAGATATGCCAGATGGAATGTCAGAAGATATGCCAGAAGATATGCCAGATAAAATGCCATGAGATATGCCAGATAGAATGCCAGAAGATATGCCAGATAGAATGCCACAAGATATGCTAGATAGAATCCCAGAAGATTTGCCAGATAATATGCCAGAAGATATGCAAGATAGAATGCCAGAAGATTTGCCAGATAATATGCCAGAAGATATGCCAGATAGAATGCCAGAAGATATGCCAGAACATATGCCAGAAGATATGCCAGATAGAATGTCAGATAGAATGCCAGAAGATATGTCAGAATACATGCCAGAAGATATGCCAGATAGAATGCCGGACAGAATGCCAGAAGATATGTCAGATAGAATGCCAGAAGATATGCCAGATAGAATGCCAGAAGATTTGCCAGATAGAATGCCGGAAGATATGCCAGAACATATGCCAGAAGTTATGCCAGATAGCATGCCAGAAGATATGTCAGATAGAGTGCCAGAAGATTTGCCAGTAAGAAAATGTATAAATGTCATGGTGGGGATCAAACGAAATAATGTATTTCTTTTTCTCTCTGGGGTGTCAAAAATGCATTTGCAAATCCATAGGGAGTACTTGTGCACACAATGTGCATGTCATGTACACTTGCATGCCAAATCATTTTTTGGTTATGTATATTTACACACCCGCACACAAATATATACATATATATGTGTATATATATACACATATTACATATGCGTTATATATATATATATATATACGTATATATAATTTAATTATTAAATACACATGCAGCCACACGTTCGCATACACACCTGTTGGGGCTGTGATCCAGTAGCTTTTGTGGAAATGCAGTTTCCAACTTCAGGGTATCCAAAGTGGGTTCTAGTGACGCTACTGGGAAGTAGAACGCTTTGTGTGAATATGACGATGTGCGTATTTAGCCCCTTTTTGGCTAGCCATATATACATAATACACTGATCTAGTATATTCATAGATCTACACAAAATGTCAATACAACGTGTATATGTGAACATTTTATCAACATTTATTTGTTCACACATTGATTTGCATAGATCTATACGACTTCCGAGCAGTTTATGATTATTATGATGTTTGCTTCTGTCCATTGCCATCAGCGTATGGATTTTTTTGGGTCATGAGTGGTTTGTCAGAAGCTGTGTCGCACTAATTTTGTCTTATATACATGTATCTGGAAAACGTGCCTACCTCAGATATCCTTGATTGTTTGGGAGGTATACAAAGATTCCTTGCCTCACCCAAAGTCGCAGCAGATCAAGGTCCTTGGGCCAACAGCAGCGCATTAATTTCGCACGGGTCTTGTTGCGGCCCGACACACAGATCGCCCTGATCGATGAAGGAACGTCCGCATGCCTCTCGGCACTGGGATGATAAATGGATTTCCCTCGATTTCTGGACATTGAGGAGCCCAATGATAGCCCATCCCCAACCTCTATCAGAAATGTGTTTTTTTCACCAAAATGAAGCTGATTGTGAGGGTTCAAGCCTGCTAAAAATTCAGCGTCTTAAGAGTCACAAGTTATAATATATATATATATAATATAATACAATATAATATAATATAATATAGTATAATATAATATAATATGATATAATATAATATAATATAATACATATATATATATATATATATTTCATATATATAATACAAATATGTCGAAATCACTCATTTACTCGGTTTACTCGTCATTCTTCAGAGATCAGTGGGTCAGGAAATTTCTGGACATGGGGTGTCATCGGCCAAAAAAAACGCGCTTCCTGTTGCCCACTAGCCACACATCTCCAACAGATAAAAATGCTATTTTCATATGGTTAAATCATGTGAAATCTCACTCTTCCTGGCATGACATTAAGTAAATTAAGTATGTAAAACAAAAAAAAAAATATGGTTTGTCTTAAAAGTGGTTAGTGCCCCTAAATCCATTGGTCAAAGATCATTTCAATGGGAATTTCAGGATCCTAAAATGGAGGTACTGTACCATTGTTCAGGCCATATTTTGTGGGTATATTCACTTACATAGGCCTTATATAGGCCTTATATATGGTAGGCACCTCCAATTTAGGTTCCTGAAATTCCCATTGATCATTGTCCTTATTAAATAGCTATAATTGGATGCCCCTGGAAGCCATGGTGCGTCGAAGCCACCAGGTGATCCGGGAAACGAGGCCTTGTTGTACCGCCTCCTGAGAGCCCCTTGGAACGCACTGAAACATATGGATTCTACCTCCGCTTTAACCAATGATATAGAAAAAGAATGAAACGTAGCTAGATATAGGTAGTTCAGTCATGTTCAATATTCAAATCTGTTGCTATATGCATACATAAATATTTATATATATATACTATGTGTGTATGTATATATATATATTTCTACGTATGCAGCAAGTGAACGCAAGTGCTGGAATATTTCAGGGTACTTGTAGAGTCCAGTCAGCCATGGAAACAAAATACATGGAAAATTCTTCATTGGGATGATATGTTTGGGAAACGTATTTGGAAATGGGATGGGAACCCATGATGGGTTCCCGTATGTTTCCATGAAATGTTCGAAGATCTCCAGATTTCCCTGCTAGTTTGAAGTACCTTTTCGGGTTTTCCTGGCATGATCATCATGATCCAACTGAGGTTTGAGGTTATGTTTCATGATTAGGAAGTGGGTTGTATCCAATCAAGGTGCTTTTTTTTTGCAGGCTGAACGTCCGTGTTATGTGAAATATCTTTTTGTGCACTTTCAACATGTCAAGTCATATTCTCCCACTATATACTGAGCTATTTTCAAAGGCCAACCTAGGGCATCAAGCCATGGCTTTCTACCATCAAGCCGAAAACTTTCCCACAAAAACCAAGTGCACCCGGTAAGTCCAAATCCCAACTTGTAAAACCACTGTTTTTGATAAATAACAACCGCAGTCTCTTTCATTTGTTATTTCACTCCTATTGTGTTTGGGACGGCTTCATGCGCTCACACCTCGAAAGCTGCTGTGGCGTGGTATGTTTTCTGCATTATATTTGTATATATGTCATATATGGATAAATCATGATAAATCCATATTAGATGAAAAAAAACAAACGTTCCCATGAAAACTCCACATTTGATGGGCAAAAATTCAGGATGAGTTTTCCTTTGCAGCTCCCCCATGCTGCATCGGATTTGTCAGCCCCAGGAGCGACTTGCAGGATATGTCTCGGTGGGGCATAGGCCCGCCCTGCAACAGTTTCATAGCCATGTGTCTCTTGGCGTTTTAACTTGCAGGATGAGTTTCATGTTAGGGGAATCACTGTGGCAGAGAAGCCAACCTTGACGACTTTTGATAGACTGAGACATTGCGCACTGACAATGTGAGCTATTTGACTGGAATTGAGGTCTTTGAGATGACGTTTTGACAGGTGATTTTTTCCGCGCGCTCATGTCCTTTCCCACTGGATGAAAGACCATCGATGTTCGCTTAAAATACCTAGTGGGCTTTTCCATAACTCCCCAAGGGGCTATGGAAAATGACCCATCAAAATATGTGATTTACCATCTGGTTAGACTAACAGTTTGCCATGGAAAGATACACCTATTTTGAATAGGTAAACCCAGGTAAACCATCTATTTCTATGGGCCATCTATACCATGGCTATGTTAAATAACCAGAGGGTATATTTGATTTACATATTGAAAATTGTGATTTTCCATATAGTTATGTGTGTTTCACCACTATTGGGGGAGCTACTCCTGTCATATGGAAAATATGAAAATCAGAGCGAGGCTATACTTGCACCGCCATGGTGATATGCCCAATGAGCCGACGAAGATTGAAGCTTTGGCGGCACTTGTTGCTGGGAATCTATGAGCCTTAAGCAGCTATACATCATATTTTCACTGATATGTCAAGGGAATACTAGGGACTAAGTAGGTGTAAAACTGGCCATCACGGATATGTTCAACCCCTTGTTGGGAGGTTTTTCTTAGTTATTCTGCGCAATCAACCAGACCAGTTGTTGAGAGTACGGGATTCGGGTTATTTCTTGGTCGAATTGGGTCGACCTTTGTTCGGAAGGTTGATGAGCTATTGCCAAATATTGGGAAATGGAGTAAATGACTACAGTAACCGGTGTGTTTCTGCAGTGTATCCCGGATTCGCCATGAATTTTCCACAATTACCCTTGAATAAAGGTCTATGAATGAAACGACTTATTGTATTTCTTTTTCGCAGGGTCACCATTTATGTTGGGGCACTTGGGAATTTGGTGATGTTCAGCTCGATGTACAGAACTTGGATCATCACAAGGTCATGATAAGTGTTTAAGTGGTGTGTAGCCATGGATGGATGAGATTTCCATCACGGGCAGGGCTCCGATCATCTGCTGAAGCACCACGCGGCCTGGATATTCGTTGGAATGGCCATGAGAGTGTGAAAAAACCAGCCTACGGCCTAAGAACTGCCTAAGAACGATGATTTTTATTGATTTTTTAGGTCATCCCAGCAGGGGATCATCATAGTTCTGGCCCTACCAACCAGCATCATTGACGTTACGGGTTTTGAACAACATCCAACCCTTGCTACCGCCCACAGCAGCCCACAGCATCAGGAGCAAATGACTATGCAGGAGTTCCAGCGGAGATATCCGTCTTTGGCCTTTCATGGTTGAGGTGGGCCGTCGCGGTGGTTGTTCTCCAAGAAGGGTATCCTGGGATTGCTGCGTCGGTGTTTGTTTTTTCCTTTTTACAAAAAACATGTTGCCATTGGTTTCTCCCACCAGAAATGGAGAATTTACCGCAGATATGTTTTTGTTGATGGCTCCTTTCAGTGAGGAAATCCAAGTTTTTCATAGGTGGATGAGGGAAGCAAGGATTGGACATCTATAAAATGGGGAAATCAGCCGCACATATTGAGGATTCATGTGGCCCTGAAATAGCGATAAAGACAAAACATAAAACAATTTAATATTATGATTCCAACAACACAGAGAATATAGGGTTTGACAAAAAAATTAAAAAAAAAACAAAACCAGAGCAAACAAAAAAAACAAACTAGAAAACCAAAACCAAGGAAAAAACAAGAAAAAAACAAAAAAAAATCAAAACCTGCATTTTCCGCAGTTTTGTTTTTTTTTTGATTTTTTTTTGTTTTTTTTTGTTTTTTTTCTGGTTTTTTTTCTGTTTCTTCCAGTCGATTTGTTTTTTTGGTGATTCTGTTTTTGTTTCTGTTTTTGTTTTTTTTTTGTTTTTTTTATTTTTTTGCTAAAATCCACTTTCTCTGTTCTACACGGGGTCATAAATTTAATAACACTTGGCAGATGGAAAGTGAATGGGTTCGTGTGAGGTCGATGAGAACAGAGGCCAATCAGCTTACTCACATATTGATGATCCTGGAAAGCAGGTTAAGATCAATCGTTGTAGTGACCGGGTAACCTTGTATCCCAATGGAATATTCGGAATAGCCGAGTAGGGGTCCGAAACAAAAAATCCTATGTATGGGATTTGTGAATATATAATCTGGTTGGTGGTGTCAAGCATTTTTTTCCATTTCATATATGGGTTGTCATCCTTCCCATTGACGAAGTCCATCATTCTTGAAGATGGTGAAATTGCACCACCAAGCAGTAATATATGCTATTAACCATGATTAACCAATAGATTTGGGGATATATTGATATCTTATATATCTTATTTTCAGAGAAACAGACATTTGGAGCACCAACCGTTGGATTTTATGATCGTTTCCGCAACGTCTCCAGGATATTTTTTGGACCTGGGAGGGTAATGACCAAGCCAAACCAAATGTGCGCAACAAACAGGTTAAATGATGTTAAATGTCTAGACTTGTATGTTGCTATAGTTTGGTAAAGTATCTAAGTTATCTAAGTGATTTCGATCATTTTTTGTTTATATAATAATAATGATTACATCAACCGAAAGTCAAGGGTGATTACCAAGATATGACTCGAGAGACAAAATAACCAAAATAATCATGATAACAACGATATGAGGTAACCACCAAATTCGAAATCGGAAGACCGCAAGAAAAACTGAATTTCACCAGCATGCCTTGGGATACAGAAATGGACACCCAGACATATTGTATCCAGATATAGGTATATGATAGCCGCAGCCTTTTTTGCTGCAGGGTGTATGCGCACATGTTTGGGTCAACAGCTTGCTGTCTCAAAGTTGGTACAGCAGTTCCTGGTGGTTTCAAAAAATCTGGGAGAATGACCTAAAAAAACGACCCACCACAATGATGAGCACAGGCTCAGCATCCCAAAATGGAGACGACAGCATGAAACCATCAGGCAGCAGGAATCAGAATCGTTATTTTGCAGCATGTGAATCGACATGGAATTTTCCACTGCGCCGGTGGGTGGAGAATCAAAAACAGCCAGGTCCTGCATAGGCGGACCTGCTGCCCCATCGTTTGCGCGATGCAGATCAGGGCTTTGCGCCCTGGAGCGCGGTCGTACAACTTTGGACATCCCCCTCGGCCTGGCCACAAGATAAGGTGCACTTGAAGAAGCATAAGATTCTTAGGATTAACAAAAAGGTCAGTGTCAGTGATCCTTTGAGAAAACATGATATTATGATTTCTATCTATATAATCATATGATATCATATCAGCATTCCGTTCTGGAAACCAAAAAGGGTATGACAACTTCAGAAATCGGAGTCGGGGCTATCCCCATTAGGACATTCAAGCCACAGCCTGGCTGAAGACTTTGAGTCGCCTCCTGGGGGCTGTCCCTTGATGTATGACGTATCTCGACGTCCCTTGAATGACCTCCCAGGGAAATCATTCACAGTGTTTCAACCCGGCATTGCTTAAGAATTAAGCTCAACAAAGCCAGCGGCATGACTAACTGGTTGGTGGTTTGGAACATTTTTTCCCATCGGGAATGTCATAATCCCAACACTATATAAACTTTTTCAGAGGGGTTGGGTTGAAACCACCAACCAGCTAAAGTTCGACTATAGCAGAAACCATTTTTGGAAACCATGTTTGGAAACCATATTGGGATGGGATTCCCAGCAGGTAACCACCGGTGGTTTCATCGGATTTCTCTAGCCGTTTCTTTGGCGCGTAGCCGTAGCCTACATTCCAAAAAGAACCAGTGATAACCCATTCAAACCATACAATGTGAGGCCCCCAAGATAGCTAAGTTGGTGCAAATAACTCCAATAACCATGGTTTATGGTACTTATAACTATGGTTACTGGGGCTTTTGTTAACCAACAAACATCACTGGGGGGCCTCACATTGTAGGTATCAGATCCCAGCATCCGTTAGAATTAAGTAAAGCTGCAGATATCTCCACCACCAACACTTAACCTACTTGGTAGACCAAAACTTCGCAAACTATCAGGGTCGTTCCAGCCTTTTATAGGAAAATGATAGCCACAAAGAGGATAGGAAATGGTCCATGTTACCATCTGGTTATTTAACATAGCCATGGAAAATCACCATTTTTGATAGGTAAACCATCTATTTCTATGGGCCATCTATACCATGGCTATGTTAGTCATAACCAGAGGGTACATCTTTTTACCAAATTTACTCCCTGTATGGTAGCTGGGGTGTTACCATTTCGCTTGTGAGGGTCAATCAAGTCATCAAAGGTGACCGTTAAAACCTGCGGTGGCACCTGGTGCAGATGACGTCAAAGCCAACCGCTTGGCTGGCGCCAGCCTGGAATCAACGCCTGCTTGGAGGATTATCCTATCCTATCTACTAAGTGCTTAGTAAGTGGGGTTATAAGCCACTTATCAATAGGACAACTCACCTAGGATATCTCAGTGGACTTAGTAACCAGGGTTATTGGGCAAAGTCTATTGAGGCATTGGCTGAATGATCATATATGATCATGGTCAGTATTGGCCAGGATTTTAGCTGATGGTGAACACCAGGTTATTATTGGTTTTGAAATATGTTCCCCATTATTTTCTAGTTGAACACCGGCTCAGCCTTTGTCATTTTGCTGCGGCCTTCTCTTTGGGTCATAAGTGGGGATATCCCAGCAATTGTTGACGCGTTATCTCAGGTTGAGGAGCTGAACGGCTGGTCTTTGCAAGACGCATATGAAGCCAACAAGAAAGGTCGAAACGCATTTTAACATGTTTGATCAGACATTACCTAATTACTGTACATGCCCATGTTTGTCGTAATACTTTTCAGCTTCATTGAATGGGAAAGTCATACGGGGATATGGATTGTCAATCGCAGTGAGGTTTGTCCAACGAACACTCTGATTTGTCTTTGTCTGGCTTAACAACATCTACATACATCTACCAGTATCTTCATCTACCAGCTTAAACATTTGTCTAGCCATGTGCCTATATAACCATTTCTGGCCTAACAATCATATTTCCAGTATTGAATCTTCATCCACGGTAGACTCCCTGCAGCTGGGCAGCCAGTCAGCCGTTGTGTGCGCCGTTCGTGCAAAAGTAAGGTGCCTCTTGCGATGGACGCCAATGCCAGCACCCATTTGTGTGTTCTGACTTTTTCGGGTATGCTTTTTGATTTGAATAATGAATTAGATCTGACAAACATGGATTCCAATTATGATCCCCATGGTACTGTTGGATAAGCAGGGTATGGTGGACTGATCTTTGGGTTTAGGATCATCTTCCAATGGTCAATGTTGCGGCCTGTGGTTGACGTGTTCCCCCGTTGTCGAAGATAGCACAATACCCAGATGGGTAGTATTTGAGTTCCTTAATCATCAGCTAACTGACTCCATGGCCCATGTGGGTGTACAATCCCATGCCCCGTCATGCCCCCCTTTTCCCCTTTTTTTTCTCACCGGACTCCAAGTGAATAGATCCAGTACCAAGCTAGGGTTTCACAGTGGATTATCGAGATCCCCAAGAAGAATCATGATGATAAATGATCAATGATGACCATTATTTGCTAAGAAACATTCATCTAGAAACATACCAATCATACCACAACTTAGAAACACACACACATCTATATATATATATGCAACAATATGTATGTAACAATATGTATATATATATAATAACACATACTTTTCAGAGGTTGATAGATTGTTATAGATATTTACTACTTCGGGATGGTTTTCCGCCAGGTTCCCCGGTGCCCGCGGTGCCACGTGACGGCCGTGCCCGTAGCCGGACGGACAGTGCCAGCGTGTCGCCTCGCAGGCGGCCGTTGGAAGACGTTTTTTGGGGAAGTCGTCGCAAGATATGGCCATTGAATGGGAAAAATATATGATATCAGATGGGAAAACTATGGGAAAAAACCATGGAAAACAGATGGAAAAAATGAACATGTTGAAATTTGAATGGTTTTGTTTGGGGAGAAATATGGAAAAACTATGAGGCAACTATGGGAAAAAACTATGGGAAAACTATATATATGGGGAAATTATAATTATGGGAAACCTATATTGAAAAAAACATGGGAAACATATGGGAAAAATGAACATGTTGATTTTTCTAAAGGGACCATTTTGGGACAGATATGGAAAAACTATGAGGCAACTATGGAAAAAACTATGGCAAAACTATATGGGGAAACTATTATTATGGGAAAACTATAGGGAAAAACCATAGGAAGCATATGGGAAAAATGAACATTTTGACATTTGAATGGTTTTTTTTTGGGGGACACATATGGAAAAAACTATGAGGCAACTATGGGAAATAAAACTATGGGAAAACTATATGGGGAAACGACAATTATGGTAAAACTATGGGAATAAAACATGGGAAACATATGGACAAAATGATGAACATTTTGATATTGCCATTTAATTAATATAACTATATGGGAAAACTATGGTAATATGGGAAGACTATGGGGCTATGGGAAGCATATGGAAAACATATGGAAACTATGGGGCAACTATGGGAAAACTATGAGGCAACTATGGAAAAAACAACTATGGGTAAACTATATGGGGAAATTATATATGGGAAAACTATATGTGGGAAAAATGATGAACATTTTGATATGGTCATTTAATTGGAACACTAATTATATGGGAAAACTATATTAATATGGGAAAGCTATGGGAAACATATGGAAAATTTGGGACAACTATGGGAATGTTTGATCCCTTATTAGCAATATAATTAGGCTTATAACTTATAACCATTATTAATTTGATTAATTAGCCATATATATATATATAAGCCAATATATTGCCATTCAATGGGACAAATATGGGAAGCATCTGAAAAAAATGATGAAAAATGGTGAAGCGGTGAAACACCTAGTTTCAGACGAATCCATGTTTACTATTGTTTACCTATTTGCCAAAAGTGACTTTGATCATATTTTAGGGAAGATGATCAACCAGAAAAAAATCTTGTTGGGCACCCTCCATGTCGACGGGGGTGTAAATATGATGATTGGAAGAACCGAAGAAGTCAGCTGGGTAATCTGGTTGGTGGTTTCAAACATTTTTCCATAATATATAGGATAATCCTTCCCATTGACTAATATTTTTCAAGATTGCTAAAACCACCATCCAGTAATTGTTTTTTTCCTTTCATGCAGTTAATTTAGACAATTAGCTAGTAGACAGGTGTCTCCGTCATTGATTTCTTTGGGGAATGCACGGGTCGCAATGGATTGGAATATGGTAAGGGAAGCGCCTTTGGGGGCACGTGTGAAACATGTGTTCAGTGTGAAACCGCCCGTGCGAATGATGATTTTAATGAATCATTGGTGAATGGTTGGAGTACTACATTTTATAAACCGTGTATATATATATATATACATATGTGTGTGTATGTATGTTTGTTTCTTTTATACATATACAAGTTGTTTGCATTTGATATGCAAAAGGAAATGACCAACACACATGCAGATTTTGTCAACATGAAACAAGGGATTTCGGGGCAACTGCGGGGTTTACTGGGCGGCTCGGGACCGTTGGACCATTGAGATGTTGACCAGCGGACCTAGTGTAGCAGTGTTCAAAACCCCTGTTGGTCGATGATTTTATAAGGGATTATACCACCCAATCCCATGGGATCCATGTATGGTAGATATGTTAACATTCGGGGTATATTGATGGGATCCATGGAGCACCATATTAATTAAGCACCATGGATCCGTCATGGGAATATGTATTGGGGATTGTTATAATCCAATAGGGGAATCCGGGAATCCCTACTAACCAACCAGCATAATGGAATAACAGAGGGGTTTGAACACTGCTCACATGAAGGGCTGTTTTCTTGCTCACCGGTCAAATACGCTTGGTGTCGGTCTCACTTTTTTCGTCAGGTAAACCTTGCTATAGGCTCTTTGCCATATTTTGGGGAATGACCATCTATGCATTAACCAGCTATTTTAGATATTTTAGGGTACTGTTTGGGTTCCAGGGTTACCCTTAACCATTTGGTATCTCTACCTAGCGATGCCGCTGCCAGGTCACATGCGGTCAGCCACCCCTCCCGGCGCGCTTGTGGTTGTTGGCCTTAGCCAAGACTTGGAAAGTAATGTTTCCATTCAAAATTTCATAGAGATATAGACTGGTTGGTGGTTTCAAACATTCTCCATAACATATGGGATAATCCTTCCCGTTGACTTTCATATTTTTCAAGATGGTTAAAACCACCAACCAGAGATCATAGAGGTTTCCCAAAATGGGTCCCCCAAATCATCCAGTCATCGACCATTTCAGTCGCCTAAAATGTGACCTGATCCCCCTATTCTATGTCATCTCCGGCATGGCGATTTCTGTGGAAGATTCCCTACGAAAAACCCATGGGTTTCCAAGGAAGTGTTAAAGGTGGAAGGGATTATATATGTTCATGACTAACACTTCCTTAGAAAATATAGCCATGGAAAATGTACAATTATAAATGTTCATGCTATGGTTTTATATATGTACCCTCTGGTTATGACTAACAGTTCGCCATGGAAAATCATAATTTTTCAGAGGTAAACCATCTATTTCTATAGGCCATTTCCCATGGCTATGTTAAATAACCAGAGGGTATAGAATATGTATAGAATATGTATAGAATATGTATAGAATATCACGCAATATCACTTCAAATTCAGGTTGTTCTTGAGGATGTGAAACAAGATGAAGCCCACGAACCCGAATGCTCACACGTATGTTTATGGTACAGATGTCAAAACACATGGTTATGCAGTCACGCACAATACCTTTCTGCAATAGTTTATTTGAACAGTCTTGTGCATGTTTCCCTTGTTACCCGTTTGCAGTGTGGAGTGGAAAGTGCAGAGTGTGGAGTGTGGAGTGTGGAGTGTGAAGTAAGGAGTGTGGAGTGTAAAGTGTGGAGTGGGGAGTGTAGAGTGTGTAAAGTGTAGAATGCGGAGTGTAAAGTGTAGAGTGGAGTGTAGAGTGTAGTGTGTGGAGTGTGGAGTGGAAAGTGTAGAGTGTGGTGTGTAGAGTTTGGAGTGTGGAGTTTAAAGTGTGGAGGGTAGAGTGTGGAGTATGGAGTGTAAAGTGTAAGAATGTGGAGTGTAAAGTGTGGAGTGTAAAGTGTGGAGTGAGGAGTGTAAAGTGGAAAGCGTGGAGTGTAAAGTGTGGAGTGTAGAGTGTATAGTGTAGAGTGTAAAGTGTAGAGTGTGGAGTATAAAGTGTGGAGTGTAGAGTGTAGACTGTGGAGTGTGGAGTGTAAAGTGTGGAGTGTAAAGTGTGGAGTGAGGAGTGTAAAGTGTGGAGTGTGGAGTGTAAAGTGTGGAGTGTGGAGTGTGAAGTGTGGAGTGTAAAGTGTGGAGTGTAAAGTGTGGAGTGAGGAGTGTAAAGTGTGGAGTGTAAAGTGTGGAGTGAGGAGTGTAAAGTGTGGAGTGTAAAGTGTGGAGTGTGGAGCGTAAAGTGTAGTGTGGAGTCTGGAGTGTAAAGTGTGGAGTGTAAAGTGTGTAGAGTGTGGAGTGTGGAGTGTAAAGTGAGGAGTGTAAAGTGTGGAGTGTGGAGTGAGGAGTGTAAAGTATAAAGTGTGGAGTGTGGAGTGTGCAGTAAAGTGTGGAGTGTGGAGTGCGGAGTGTGGAGTGGAAAATGTAGAGTGTGGAGTGTGGAGTGTAAAGTGGGGGTGTGGGGTGCAGAGTGTGGAGTGAGGAGTGTAAAGTGTAAAGTGTGGAGTTTGGAGTGTAAAGTGTAGAGTGTGGAGTGGAAAGAATAGAGTGTGGTGTGTAGAGTGTGGAGTGTGGAGTGTAAAATGTAAAGTGTGGAGCGTAGAGTGTAAAGTGTAGAGTGTGGAGTGTAGAGTGTAAAGTGACGAGTGTAAAGTGTGGAGTGAGGAGTGTAAAGTGTGGAGTGTAAAGTCTCAGGTGAGGAGTGAGGAGTGTAAAGTGCAAAGTGTAAAGTGTGGAGTGTAAAGTGTAGAGTGTGGAGTGCGGAGCTTCCCCCATAGACACGGCGAAGCCACAGGAAAACCAGAGACTCGAGACAAGACACGTGGATGCAGAAAAACCAGCATTTCCTACGAGACTTCCTCCAGTTTTGACATTTTTGACACATTATCAAACAGGTTGGAATGTCAGAAAGTGCCACGTCTGCCACGCAAAACGACATGACAACCTGCTTGGAAACATTCGAAAAGGACAGGTTTTGCAGCTTCCCCCATAGACACGGCGACGCCACAGGAAAACCAGCGACTCGAGACAAGACACGTGGATGCGGAAAAACCAGCATTTCGTACGAGACTTCCTTCAATTTTCACAGTTGGCAACATAACAAAAGGACAGGTTTTGCAGCTTCCCCCATAGACACTGCGAAGCCACGGGAAAACCAGAGACGCGAGACGAGACACGTCTTGAGCACCAAAACGAGCATTTCGTGCGAGACTTCCTCCAATTTTCACACTTTGTAGCTTCAAAATCGACGTTTTCCTACGAGTTTTCCTTAGAACCTGAAAATTTGCAAGCTCAAAATCGATGTTTCGTGCGAGGCTTCCGTCAATTTTCAGCACATGTCAGAAAATGCCACGCCTGCCACGGAATTTGCACCTTGTCACCACTTGACGCAGCCCTGCCAATGCGATTTGCAAAAAACACGCAACACGACACGTCTAAAGTGCTGCGCCTGCCACGAAAAATGACGATGGACACGTCCAAAGTGCTGCGCCTGCCACGAAAACTGCAACACATCTTCTGAAAACGTCAGCAAAAGTATTGCGCCTGCCACGCAAAACGACTTTCGACACGTTGCAGAACACGTCTGAATGTCACGAAGTGCCACGCCTGCCACGCGAAACGAAGCAACCAGACGTCTGAAACCTCCAAAAAGGACCACCTCTGCAAAACTTCCCATAGGCACGGCCATACGGAGTTCGCACGAACGGTTGCGGACGGTTGCGAACGGTTGCGAACGGTTGCGGACGCGGACACAACGTCGAGCGAACACACCCTCAACCCCCAGACCCCCAGAGTGAAACGGGAACCCTTGCTACGCATTCGGGAAAAATAGTGACGCATAGTGACGAGCCTGCAGCTTCCACCAAGGGGGCATTGAGCAGTGTAGAAGATGGCTTCGAATTGAATTCCTTCCTTGTTCCGATCAATTCCATTGGGGGAGAAAAGTCGTGCCTTCAGAAGTAAACTGCCATGTGCATGGCAATTTAATCATTAATTTAATCTATAAAATTGTTCAAGTGTATGGAAGTCATTGAACATTTATTTCTTAGGACAATTCGCTACAAATAGAATTCCTGGAAGTTCCCCGTTTTTGATGTTGATGTGTTCACCGGGTTTTGTCGGCGTGTTTGTTGATCTTTGCCAATCCAGGGCCACCTTCAAACAACATGTAGAAAAATGCAATATCGTATAGACATGTTCAGGTGAAATATTGTGAAATTCAGTGTCTACTTTTATACTTGATATTATTTGGATACCTATTTGGATATTTCCAGCAATTACTGAAAATATATTCAATTCAGTGTCATATATCCAAATATTTGGATATAGATATACTTGTTCACCAATATTTGGATAATTATTACCCTCTGGAAAACTAACATCGCGATTGAAAATTGCCCATTTATAGATGATTTGCCCATTAAAAGTGGTGATTTTCCATAGTTTTTTTGTATGTTTACCAGAGGGTGTGATCCTGTAATTTGGGCATTGGATGGTGCATCTGCAATATGTTTGGTTCAAGGTCGTGGAACGACAAGTAGGATCACCCAATGCTCCATTTTTGTGGATGGGGCAAACCGTGTTTCGAGGGTGGGTTTTGCTGGTTTAGGATGTTTTATGGATTATGTTCTAGACTTATTCAACTTCCTGGGGTGGTGTTTTAGGTAGACAACTCTAGAACCTGTCAATTTCATTCAATTTCATTCAATTTCATTCAATTTCAGCAATGTGTTGTTAATAAGATCAAGTTGCATTTACACAATTTATATACTCGTGTTGTTTGGTTCTGGGAGCATTTAAGAAAATTGATAGGACAAAAGAAAGAACGACACAAACCTTAGGCCATTTTGTTTGTTTTGTATTTGCCATTGTCAGGGACCACCAGTTTTGAAGCCACCCATTTTCACGAAGAGCAAGAGCAAACCAACATGATTCTGTAGAGATATATATATATATACGTTTTTTTTTGCCAAATGTTGGTTCATATCGCGGCATCTCAGGATCATCAAACCTATCGCAGTCGTTCATCGTGTACCGGCAAGAACTGCAGCATTCGCGTTTCGCATTTTTGGCGCTTTCTGGCGTGATTTTTCGTCCAGCCGTGTGCGCAACAAGCGCACCATGTGGGCTCGTCGCATCGGTGCTCCGGACCGATGTCCCTCGCAGACACGCGTCGCTTGGCGCCGGAATATTCGGGTCACCGTGTGGCAAAAGTAAATAGTAAAATGTTATGGTTGTGGTTGTGGTTGTTGCTGTCTATACTGTAGACCTGGGAGTAAGTTTAAGCAATGAACTTAAGATATGATATTCACATTTTTTTCTTTAACCTTTTCTTTTAAAGTATTCATTTATCTATATCTTAAGTACCTTGCTTTCACATCTATATCTATCTATATCTAGAAAAAATCTTCGATATCTGCCTGGGCATCACTTTTCTTCGCCTGGGTATCACTGACTTGGTGCATCTTGGTCGCCACGTTGCAGTTCTGAACTTCAGTGTTGTCATCAAGATCTGAGAAACGGTTTGGATTCACCAAATATCTATTCATAGTCGTTATGACTAACATAGCCATGGAAAATGTTCCATAGAAATAGATGGTTTACCATGGTTTACCTATTAATAGCATGGGGATTTGATGGTAAATATGATTACAATTGAATTTTGGCACACTTTTTGTGTTTTTTTTTTAAATTAAGATATTCCATAGTGCATGTTGAAACCAAATGAAATTGGTAATGTGATCTTCTGTAATTACTGAGTACCTAGACGTCATCCCCATTTTACCAGAAATTGCTGGTAAAGAACCATCAACATGTCGTTGGTTTATTATTGCTTTACTAGCATTGCAGATGGAAGTAACAAGTAACATCTTTACTCTAAGTGCCTTTCTCTTCGTCTCGCATAAATTTTGTGCACACATTCCTTCCAACACATAGGAAGTAACACACACACAAACTTACCATCCCTGATACTAACATAGACCCCTGCCAAATAAGGGGTTGCAAGGTTAGTTTCCACTAAAAGTTAGCCATTTCAGGGTCTATGTTATTGGAGAGTATTCGATGTTTGGACATGTTTGGACTCTCTCTCCTTACACCCACTGGCTTTGCGGTGCTACCCAGATGGCGGCAGCTACACAGCTAAGGTCATCGTGCAAAGCATCATGAACGGAGCGGGGGGGGTGTCCCCTTTGCCCGCTGTGGGTTTGTTGTTTACAGCGGACGGGTATCGGCGGTATCGGTATTTATTCACACATGAACTGTTGCTGAATGCCGGCCATGATGTATATTTCGGAAATCAACATCGCAATACTTGAATTGGGATGGCACCTGCTTACTTACTAGTCTGTAGGATTCTCTAGGCATTTGTAGGCTCTATATTTACGTGCTATAGGGCTTTTGGTAGGTGTTGTGTTGGGTTAGGGCCCTGAAGACAGGTTTTTGTCCATTAACCTTGGGTTGCGAAGCTATGTGGGTTGTTTAGTTTCAGACGGGGCAAGAAGATACTAAGCGGTGGTTGCATCCCAGTCGGTAGAGCAAAGTCACCATCATATCTTCTTTCAACATGCTGCCGACCTGCCGCCTTGCTCTTACCCCCGATCTTAATGGAGCATCATTTTGACCTACTTCCGGGTGAACCTTGGGCTGCCCACTTTCCTTGCGGAATTGATAGGAGAAAACCGGATAGCCTCACAGGACATATAGCTGATATATGCTGATATCGAGGGTCAACTCTTTTCTGCAGGAGAGCTTCAGCATAAAGCGGCCATGTTTGGTCGCTTGTTTTTTTGTTAGTGGCCCCTTGGAGAGTACTTCTCAAAGTGGGTGGAGTCTCAGTATCAACGAAGGTTATTTAATGATTGTTCACTGTTTATGTAACCTGTTAATTCATGATTCATGATGTTCCCATCCAACTAGAATTCCCATACCGTATGCTTAGATTAAATTTTGGATCATGCCGATGTTGTTTTCCCCCCGTTGTTTGAAGGGATTTGGAATTTAACATATGGCCGCCTCAGCGGCAATCAGTAATGGTTTCAGGAGCCATCGGACTAGTCGTTTACCAGTATATGGACGCTTGGCGAAGTTGCGAAGGGTTTTTGGGTTTGCATGAGGCATCATATGGCATCATGCTTCATCATGCCCTTTAGGGCCTATAGGTCCATGGAATTCTTATGAATTCTTTGGGTTACATGATGTTGCACTGGGTTATTCTGTATTTGCCCGGTTGTAACTTTGTTGATTCACAAGCCTGCAGAAAACCACGTAAACCAAGCACTCAACAGAGACTTATTGGACAATAAGAACCTTCAAAGTTGGAGGTTGGCGGTTCTTGTATTTCCCCCCTTTCGTGTGGGCTTTTCATCATGATCGTTGGTGAAATGAGCAGTGGTAGACCCCCTCAAAGGGTGATGAACATAGACTAAACAGCTAGGACATGATTTACGTTCTGTTCCCCACAGGGTATTTAATGTAAGATTAGCATAGATTATCCAAAGATACATGCAAAAATACCAGAGTCACATAGGTGGTGCCTATGAATACCCTCCGCACCTGGGTCCCTGCGGTCATGCCATGATCTGAGGACAGCTTGGCTGGCGGAAATCTTGATTTTGCCCTCGAAAGTTCCTTGGATGTTGGGAGCGGTTGGGTAATGGATGCTAATCCCCGTGATCCTATCACTTCCTAAAGTTGGGTCCCAGATACGTGTACCCTCTGGTTATTTAACATAGCCATGGAAAATGGCCTATTTATAGATGATTTTCCCATTAAAACCACCATTTATGAGGGATTTTCCGTGGCTATGTGAAATAACCAGATGGTAAATCCCCTACGCAACCATGGTTCCTGGGGGATGTTTAATCATCATTAGGGGGATGAGATTACTGTGTATTAATGCGGTCAACCCAACAACAAACCCTCCCCAAGATTACTGAACATGAATCGTCTCCGACAGGTTGGTGCTATAAAAAAGGTGCTGAATTTACCACATGATTGGGGAAATCATTGGTTTAGGCTACACATGGACATGATTGAAAGTGAAACATAGTGATATGAAATCTGTTCATATCCAACCAAAGATGGGTGGACAAACTTGTTTCAGGTCGCTGGCGGGTTGATTCGGGTTGAGTGCTTTTTTGGCTCGGTTTGCCATGCTGATAGTGTCAGGATATAATAACATTAATAACTTCCCCCCGTGTATTCTGATTTCAGATATAGCACCAGTTTGTTAATGAGAGGGTAACACTTTTTTGAAACGCATAATAAAAAATATGCCACATATCGCAAGCATCCCATTGAAAGTTAGGGTTTATTGCTTCAGCGTTGACATTAAGTTGCTGTTCAAAGATTGTCACATTTGTCACCAAACATAGTGTTATATAACTATTGTTTGGTGGTTTTGAATCATCATCATCATCATCATCATCATCATCATCATCATCATCATCACATTTAACCATTATAACCGTTGAGGCCGAAAAGCGTTTCATCACTTGGGTCAGCCATTGCTATGGCCGTCCCACATGAGCTTCTGGAGCTCCAGAGGGGTAAGAAGATAGATAGATAGATAGATAGATAGATCGATCGATCGATAGATCGATAGATAGATAGATAGATATAGATAGATAGATAGATAAATAAATAGAAATGCTTTCAGCACATTGTACCCCATGAAAAGTCATAGGACAAGCCAATGGCTCGCAGACAACCTCCATGCTGCGTATGATGCGCCGAGGTGTGGGAAATAGCTCCGCCACGTGCTTGACCAGTTGGTTGCGAAGGAATGAGATCACTTCCTGGCCGGGCAGCACAGCCAGTTGCTGCTGGTTCGTGTTGGTTCAGATTGGTAGAAATACCATCGATGGTTTGTCCAATCGGGGACTTTTGATCACGATTTTTTGTTAAACAAAAACAGTTGCATCATAGTAATTAATCATAGGTACATTTTGTACGATACGTGGTGCCCCACTTTGAAATCGCGTCCGCGGTTGAGAAAACCAGCTTCACCCTGTTTTCGTCGGCACTTTCAAGGGGACACTGTTGATGATTTTTTCCTTAATGTAGTCTGGTAATCTCTCTGTTTTTCTTAATTGAGAACATAGAGAACATCAGAGTTTTTCCTGTGAAGGGGTAATCATCTCTATGTCACAATGTTCTAAAAAAAAGGAAAAACCTACAGAGAGAGAGAGAGAGAGAGATGGAAAACCCATGTTCTTCTTGGTAAATCTTCCAATTTGTGGTTGCTTATGTTCCAGATCATTGAAAATTCGTCCCATGTTTGAGGGATGTGTTCACTGCACAGATACAGTGCCACCTTGTTTCTTATTGAGATCAGCCCCATTGTTGTTAGTTGGTTTTCTTCTTTTGTTTGTTTATAAGCGTTAAATCCTCAATGAAGTCTCCCTTTAAGCCATGTGAAAAGCCATAAATTGAACATCATCTGCTAGCCATGCTGAGGGCGGAGGCTGAAACTTGGACCAAGTGGTTCAAGTGCGCTTCCGAGGGGGAACATGGGAGAACTATGCTGGGAGCTGTTCTGAGCCATTTGGAGTCATAAGATGTAATCCTTTCAAGTAAGGGAGTATGCGGAAATGAATCCCCAGAAGGTTGAATAGCATTTGCAGTCCCGATTGCAACCCATGATGAGAGTCTTTGGATTCTGGATAGAATCCTTTAGATGGTTATCTGGTTGATGTTTTAGCTCAGCCATCGCCGTTTTGTATCCCACTTGGTTGCCAGGACGTTTTACCCGAGACCGGACTACCGGGTCTACCGGGCTGACCGGGGATCCCATAGGTACCAGGCTGATTCCAGCACGTATGTGCACAAGCACACCTGCAATCCCTTTCCAGTCTCCGCCCTCAACCAGACTTGCGCCACTATGAGTTGCTCAGCTGAAAAAAGGCATTTTTTGTCGTATATTGTTTTGACATGTTTTCGGTATCAACTCATTTTTTGCATTTTGTGAACATTTTTTGCTAGAAAGAGGGGTGCGCGGTGCAGTTGTTTTGGTTTATATATATATATATCTATTATACATGTTCAACATACTGAATACTGTATGCACTGTATATAAATATATATATATTGTATATATATATATATGCGTGTGTGTATGTGTGTATGTAATTATGTATGTGTGTGTGCTTGTGCGTGCGTACATACATACCAATCAGCTAAAATATGCTCAAGCTGCACTTTCGCATGGTATCTAAAACTAAAATTGGTTATGTTTTGGTAATTTCCCTCTTATAATCTTAGTGACCGGCTATTTATATCCAGTGGCACTTCGTACTTCGCTGGGCCAGGTTGGCAAAGCATTAAGCCCATGTATTGTTGGTTTGACGGACGTGTTTTTTCCAAATCTACGGCACAATCATTTCCAGCTTCCCTTAGGTCCTTAGGTATTGTTATGTATTGTTATGGTATTTCCAATTTCCCTTAGGTTGTTTTCCAATTTCCAATATGGTATTGGTATGTATTAATACCAATTGTTACACTAGCTACGGAGCCTTGCTCAAATTCTCCCCCGACAGTGTCCTCGGGTTTTCGAGAAGTCTCATGGTCTCTGAGGCGTCCCCGTCTATGAATTCGACAGCAACTTGGCAAAGCAATGGGTTTTTGGCACCATAGAGATGTTGATTTGATGGTGATTTTATATGTTAACAACGGGTTAGTAACGGGTCATAGTGGTTCGAACTGATAATGGTATCTCTAGTGGCATACCTTTCGGCAATCAAACAAGGCCATGGCAATGGAAAATCCTCAGGCTAAATGAGGCTTTCGATGGGGAAATCATCGATCAATGGGGAGATTTGGGAGGGTATGATTACTGGAGGGTATGCTGGTCAAATGGCAGGTGTTTCCACCACGCATTTCAACGATTTCCCACGCGCTCTCATTCTTATGGGCCACAAGAGTTTCACAACTTGGAAAGAAGCCATTGCTTGCGATGAAATTTGATGCTGTGTCACTTTATTTGAACGCTTGGGTCACCGTTTTGTTTTGTTTTCTCATTTTTACCTCGTATGAATGTCACTTGAAGATGAACGATTTTCGAAAAGATCGAAGCACATTCTCTCCGTGGACGTGCATACCAGCTGGCAAGTGATTTATAACCCTTATGTCGCTCGGGATTTGAAGATGTTGAAGATTTCGAAACAAGATGCAATCACAATGTTTTACACACATATGTCTTATCTAGATAAATATATTTATTTATTTTTATTTAGATTATTTACTAATATATATATGTATTTAATTGATTTATTTAGGTGCCAGTGGTATCATGTGCTTTCAACATGCCGGAAATCCATCCTTCGGCATTTCATCCATTTCATCGGGTCCGAGGTAAGTTGGGATACCCCTTGGGCCCCGGCGAAAAGCCGAGCTTCAACAACGATCTACTGCGACCTGGCAGCGGAATGGCTGCTTTTGTGGCAGGATATGCAAACATGTCCTATGGTTAAGATGAGAGGTACCTAGGAAATGGCGAGGTTGGAAATTGGAAACGACCAAAACACGATGGCACAGTGATACACATCATTTCATTGTCTATTTAGTCTAATTATTCGTTTTCATTGTCTGTTTATTCCTTCAAGCAATGTTTGGAAGGACTTTTTACCGCACTGGCCCCTTTTTCCTGTCTCAAGGTATGCTTTTGCATATACCTTCCTGGTTCTTGGGTTGCTTGGTCAACTTGGCTGGGCGCATTGACCCCTAGTCCCAGCTTCGATGTGTGGTTTCAAGAGTTTTGGAGTATGACAGGTGCGCGACACCTCAGCAGTTTGGAGTATGACAGATGTGTTTTTGAAGTTGGTTGGAGAAGGTTCGGCGCTTGGAAACTGCCATTTTTCTTTTTTTTTTGGTTTTTTTTTAAGGCTTTAGGGATGGATCGACTGATCAAATGGATCAATGTATGGCAGCTGGGGGTCAGCGGTTTTGTGCAGTCTAGAGTAACACCCAAAAAGATATAAAAGTAGAATCCTACCTTAAATAGAGGCATATGACGTTTCCATTTTGGGGGGATGCCATAAGTCATCTATCATGGGTCAACTGTTGATGATTGAATTGGCTGGTTGGAGGCGAGAGTACAAAACCATCAGTTTCGGCCTGGTTTTTGAAGCGGTTCACCTTCACAAGCAGTCACAAACTACAGCCTGGTATCCAGGAAGATTATGGAAAGTTGGATTTTGAAAGGATACATGTTTGTTGAATCCAAGCGACAGAAGGGTTTCAAATTGGTTGAGTTGAGCTTATTGCCAACTCAAACTGGTATTTGAGGAGTTGTGTTGGATGATCACGATGATAATGATGCATCCCCACTGCAAATGTCTCAAAACAGGTCTTTCCCTCACTCAAATTGCAGCTGTTTTTGTTTTTTTAAATCTAGGAAAGTCATGAACACGACTGACTATTTTATATATTTATCTATCTATCTACCTACCTATCTATCTACCTACCTATCTATCTATCTATCTGTTTGTTTGTCTGTATGTCTTTCTATCTATCTATCTATCCATCTATCTATCTATCGATCTATCTATCTATCTATCGATCTATCTATCTATCGATCTATCGGTCTATCGATCTATCGATCTATCGATCTATCTTATCTACCTTATCTATCTCATCTATCTTATCTATCTTATCTATCTTATCTATCTTATCTATATTGTCTATCTTGTCTAGCTTATCTACCTTATCTATCTTATCTATCTTATCCATCTGTTCCATCTTTTCCATCTTATCCATCTTATCCATCTTATCCATATGATCCATCGTTTCCATCTTTTCCACCTTGTCCATCTTATCCATCTTATCCATCTTATCCATCTCATCTATCTTTTCCATCTTATCTATCTTATCTATCTTATCTATATTATCGATCGTATCTATCTTATCTATCTGATATATTTAATCTATCTTATCTATCTTATCTATCTTATCTATCTAATCTATCTTATCTATCTAATCTATCTATATAATCTATATAATCTATCTTATCTAATCTGTCTTATCTATATTATCTATCTTGTCTATCTTGTCTTTCTTATCTATCTTATCTACCTTATCTATCTTATCTATCTTATCCATTTTATCCATCTTATCCATCTTATCTATCTCATCTATCTTATCTATCTTATCTATCTTGTCTATCTTGTCTATCTTGTCTATCTAATCTATCTTATCTATCTTATCTGTCTTATCCATCTTATCTATCTTATGTATCTTATCTATCTAATCTATCTAATCTATCTAATCTATCTGATCTATCTAATCTATCTAATCTATCTAATCTATCTAATCTATCTAATCCATCTAATCTATCTAATCTATCTAATTTATCTAATCTATCTAATCTTTCTGATCTATCTAATCTAATCCAATCCAATCCAATCTAACCTAACCTAATCTAATCTAATCTAATCTAATCTATCAACCTATCTATCTATCTATCTACCTAGCTATCTATCTATCTATCTATCTGTCTATCTATTTATAAATGGTGGTTCCTAAAATACGGATACCTCCAAATCATCCATGTCAATGGGATTTCTCCATGAACTAAACCACCCATAACCATTTGGGCACCATGTTGCAACCAGCTGCATTGATCATTGCAACCAGTTCCGTGCTGAGGATCTTGAATTTGATCGGCTTTGCTGTGCATGATATCACCCTCCTCTCTAGGACGCGCCGTTTCCCCGTTTTGAACGCCCGGTCGCAACAACGCCCCGTTTGAAGGTTTTGGAGGTCTAAGATATGATACTGAGATCAACTGTGGATGGTCATGTAACAAGCATGACCCGTGTACTATATAGATATGTACATGTATATATATATAATTATATATATATGTGTGTGTCTGTATGTGTTTGTTTCTTTTTGCAGACATACGTGTATAGCATATAGATGTATATATTATAGTGTGTATGCATGTATGCGTCTGAGGGAGAAAATCAACATGAATCATGGTATTTTTGGTAGTTATACCAAGTAGACTTTCCAGTTGCTGTTGTCATATAGTTGTCATAGGCGTGACTTATTTGCAATGGGTTTCTTCGGATCCAGCCCTTTGAAACACAAGACACAAGCCTGAAGTGAAGCTGCCACTGGGTCGGGAAGCTTGGCCAGGAGAAATCAGAACTACATCCTAGATTTGCCTGCCTTCAATCAAGGCCCAAACTGGATCGCATAGATGGGACCTCCATTTTCCCGTGCTGTTTTCTGGAGTCTGGAAGGATTTTGGCCACAGTCTTTCAATTTTATATTTTTGGGGATCAGGCAGGTTTACCATGTGGGTTTGTTTGAACATAGGTTGCGGTTGCACATGGCACATGATAAGTCACCATTTTCCTTCTGCTTAAACATAGCTGTGCAGGGTAAATCCAGAATTGTCAGGTCCAAAACTGCAATCATATAGTTGGCGATATTTTCCATTGTATTATATAATGATTAGTCATTCGTAATTATACACTATACATACTGTGGATGGTTGCGAAATCCTGCACCGCCTGGGATATGGTAGAAACCCAATAAACTGGTTTATAAACCCCATGAAAACTATAGATATATCACCTATAAAACCACAGTTATTGGATATTATAATGCCCTTTAAATAATGGGATGGTTGCCACCAAAAAAAACTGGTGATTCGTTCTTCGCACCACCCTTGGCCACAGGATGGGTCGTATCTCTCAGACTGCTGAGAAGATCCCATATCGATGTGATTTGAAAACGGCCTAATCCAACGGATCCCTTACGGCGACCGGTAAACGAAGGGCGTTTGCCAATTGGAAAACCCCATGCAAAATCCCTTTATTTATAGGGCTATAACATCCAATAACTATGGTTTTTGTTGGTGACATATCTAATTTTTAGTAGGTAAATCAACTATAGGTGGGCTTTTCATAGGTTATTTATGGTGAGCTTACCACAATTACCATGATATTTTTAACCATTTGGTTATTTAAGATAGCCATGGAAAGATCCACCAATTTCTAGTTGGGTAAATCCACGAACTAAATCACCATGTTCCATAGCTATGTTAATTTACCGGAGGTCAATAGGTATATCAACTATACGTGAGCAATTTTCTATAGCCTATGCTAGTTCACCAGAGGGTATACGGAAACATGTCTGGGTCTGACTGTGGGTTTCTGGTCCATTAGAAACCAGCGCTTTTTTCTTGTGGCTATTCCTTCTAGCGTCATGTCATGATATGAATTGTTCTATTTATTTACCTTCAGAATTTTCCAATATTTCCAGAGGAGGCTCAATCATGGAACAGAAACCTCATAATCTTCACATGATAATCCAGCAAAGATACCCTCTGGTAATCAAACATAGTGATTGAACATCACCCATTTACTTCGATGATTTTGATGACACCGGAGGGTACATGATGGAGCCTCATGCCTGGTTTGTTCTTGCCGTGTTGAATTAAATACATATATTGCACATGTGTATTTCTGATGGATATATCAGCCAGGTTACTTGGGGTGAAACCAACTGAAACAACTGGGGGGTCCCAACCTTGTTGGTTGTGAAAGATGATGTTCCTGGCTGCGTTTCCTGGCAGATTTAGCTTAAGATTATCCCCGACTGGCCTGAATAAACAATAAACTTGTCCGGCCAAGGAATTATTAATTCAGCCGGATATGACAAATTAGGACAATCATATATTACAAACCCAATATATACAAGGTGAGGCACCCCACTTATAAGTTGATTTTTAAACCCTATTAATTGTTACATCGTCCCCAGAAACCCTAGTTGACCAAATCAAAACTTTAGCTATCGTAAACGAGAGCCTCATCGTCGGATGGAGTTTGGTCTACGCAGGCTTTCCTCTCTTCAAGAAATTTGCTATGTTGTCAGGCGCGCTAGCAGTGATATCTTCGGCGTTTGGGTTGGGACTTGTATTGGTCACCCTCCGGTGTCCTCAAACATGGCTTGCTGGACAAATCTCCCCATGTAATTCAATGATGTTCCGATTTAAACGCCCATTTTGTTTGGGGATTTCCCATTGCCATGTTTGATTCCGGGAGGTTTTTGTTCCTCCTTTTTTGAAGTGGAAGTAAGTGACTTTGGCAGTGAGAGATTGTAGTTGTGAAGTTCTGATATGAAGTTGTTGCCATCAATTTGCTGTGGTACAGTAAAACAGTCAAGTTGAAGTTGAAAGCAAATCAGTTTTTATTCCCTTTCCCCAAAAAATTGTCAAACATCATCAGTTTTCAGGCAGGATCAGGCGGCGTCGGCGTCTGGCCCAGGTATCAACATCGTGCCTAAACTCTTTAGTATCGAGGGCACCGGGCGAACATTGGCCATTGCCATAGGCATCGTGCTGACCCTTGGCTTGACAAGCGGCCATGGATCGGATCGTGACCCGAAAGAAAGAACCTTTTGAGAGCGGTTTTAGATGGAGTTATACAGAATTTACCCTCTGGTGAAGTAACATAGCCATGGTATAGATGGCCCATAGAAATAGATGATTTTCCCTGCTACTATAAACCTCCATTTATTTTGGGGATTTTCCATGGCTATGTTAAATAACCAGATGGTAACCAACAAAAGTTAAAACCTGTGCTTCATATGTGATTTTGGATAGTTTTTTTCTGGTTTAGAGCTGCAAGAACTGTTGGAGTTATGGTGGAAATTCATCTTGTAGTTGGGTGGAACTAAGCTAACACTCCCATAACAGGTGGGCTCCACTTCCCAAGGAACTTACCCACAAAACTGTGGGAAATTTGGCGGTGCCAAATGAGTCGATCGTTTCATGAGTCTCATGGGTTTATCCTGGATCGTTTCTACTCTGGATCTATTCTATTAGGATTACTCTCTCCACTGATGCTTTTTTTTTGTATGTTGTATGTTTGTGTAACCAAATGCTCGATTCAGCGCTGGCCTTGGGTTGCAATATGTTTTTTTTTTCAAATACCCTCTGGTTATTTAACGTAGCCATGGAAAATCACCATGCTATAATAGGTAAACCATCTATTTCTATGGGCCATCTATACCATGGCTATGTTAAATGTCCACAGGGTAATCTTTGTAGATCTGATGATTCCAACATCACATCAGCGATGACATCAAAGAAACTGGACGCCAAGGCCCATGCCAGCCGAGGCCAAATTTGTGATGGTGTTTGTTGTTGGTTTTTAACCCCAATGGTGCCTAGTCCCAGATGCGGACCCACGCTGCTAGTATATAAAAACCTACAAAACTGGGTGGTCTTTAGGGTAAATGTTGGTAAATATTAGAGCACCATGGAGCATCTGGGAGTTTGATATCTATAGATATATCATGATATGTTTGCCAGAAACCAGCGTTCTTGGAATTATAAAGCAAGATAGCTATCGAGCCACCTTGTAGATATGTGAGGTTCTCCGACCTCAAGTATTTACCCTCTGGTAAACTAACATAACTATGGAAAATCACAATTGTTCATGGGTAAATCCACTATTTCAATTGCCATTTGCAATAGCTTTTTGTATGTTTACCAGAGGGTACCATATCTCCCCGATTTTCTTGCTAACCCTTTTAGTGCTCCTGTGCAGTTCAGTTGACTCAGGACTCCGTTCATTGCAGTGTGGTCTCTTCTTTTTCTAGTTCCTGGGCAGCAGTTGGGTAGATCAAAGGATAGCCAGAGAGATAGGGTAATATCATAGTATAATATCAGGAATATCTAAAATGGTTTTGAATGGCTTCTCTAGGCCGGGAAGAAGGTCATGACTGAAAACATGATAGCCAGCCGGTCAGCCCCAATATGTTACCGTCACATCTCACATCGTTCCGTGAACAGATTTTCTGGTGCTTGGTGCATATAAATTAAGCGTACTCTATTTTGCTTCAGCTGCTCCCTTGTGAAATCCAAATCAACAGGTATTCTGTACAAAGGCCGCTTGTTCTCTGAATCACTGTTTGAAGATGTTTGAAGTTGTTTGCTGGAATGGATTGTGTCATGTTACAACCTTTTTCTTGATAAGCACTGTCGCTGCTCAGCAGAGCGGTGTCAAATGCCGGTCGCTCCTATTGGCAAAACGGCTTTTGGCAAGATGTTATAGCTATTGTATCTATTCGATTTCGCCAGTTGTGGCTATAACATCCTGTAACTTCAGTTGTATCAGTGATATTTTGAATCAACGCCCATTAGAGTTGGCATTAATGTGGGTAAAACAATGTCATAAACATATAAACCAGCCATTTGGGAATGATTGACATCCCAGCTATAAAAATGATGATTTGGGGGATGGTTTATGGCATTGTTTTACCCACATTCAACAAATAGCTATACCCTCTGGTAAATGAACATAGACCCTGAACATAGCCTAGTTTTAATGGAAACTAATCTTCCAACCCCGATGACTGCCAGGGTCGATGTTTATTGTTTTTTTCACGCAGGTTGGGATCATTACGCCCTTCATGGTGCTCCTCTTCTTTCGATATCCAGTGCCTCGAAAAAACCGTCGGTACTGCCTCAGTTGTAACTCCAACAACTGTGGTTTATATTTATTAGTAATACAAGTAATATATTATATATATAATTATGTATATAACTGGTGTATGTATAAATAAATATATATATATATATATATATATGTTGTGTGTGTGTGCGTGTGTGTGTGGTTTATGGGTGATCATGTTTATATTTGGAGACATCTATTAACTCCAAGAACTGTAAGTTCAAGAGTCCAAAAGTAATATATTGGGGACATCACCTTGTAGCCAAATTTAAGGGTAGCTAGCTTGATGCCAACACCGCAGCACCAGGATTTTGACTTATATGGGAACACCGCTATGAAGGATATCTAAAGGGAACGGGACAAGCCAAGTTCCGAATGGTCAGACCGCTGGCATGATGGGTTGAAATAGTCTGTCCTCTCTTTGCTCGGGGTCAAGGGTCAAAGCATATGATTTAGGAGATTGTTTGGGGAAGAACATCCATTAGCTTACTGGCGCTAAACGTAGGGAATGGATGGGTTGCTGGGGGTTGCTGGGATGATCTGCTTGATAGTTAGCCAGTGGATCATTCCCGAAAATTCCCTACGTAAAACGCACCAGTAAGCTAATGGATGCACAATGCCCACTAGCTGCTAGCTATTTGCTTCACCAGGCCCACCAGGCCCACCAGGCCCACCAGGTGATTTTGAAGTCATGGGAGATGTCACACTGCCATTAGAGTTGAGAAACCCCTTGCCGCAACGAAAAGCATGGACGTGGATGAACATTGAAATGTTCAGCCATAGTGACTGTACCTCTGACTTTTCCATGTAGTGATTTGTGGTTTAGTGTGGTTTATATACTTTAAACTTTTAACAGCTGGAGCCATGTTTTTTGGAAACACATTGAAAGAGAAGCAAAAAAAACGACATGCATCGGTAAGCCGCTGCTGGGACAGCAGCAGAACACCACCACTATGGAGCCGGCTCCAGCTCCATCTAAAAACCTTGTGGCGGCACTGCTTGTGCCGGTAGAACAACCGTTGCGGATTTGTTTAGTGAGGACGTCCTGGTGCCAGTTTCATGCCATAACTTCAAGGTGATTTCATTCCCTAAGTTGGTACATCATCCACCAAGACTGGGGGTAATCCGCTTGTTTCTTGTCCCCTACGATTCAGCAACCTTCATGCTACACACCGGTTTCATTTGCTACATCTATTCACTTTGTCGCTCCGTCGATCCCCTTTTGAACGGGATGGGTCACAACTCAAGCACCGTCCCATTGCACCCCAGCCGCGATCGATCGTTCGCCTCCGAAAAAAAATACCCTGAGCGGGTCGGCAAAAAATGTGTTGCTCCTAGAAATGGAGGAACATACCAACAAGCTACAACAATCTATAACAATGAAGTCTTGTTCTTTGTGGAAGGGGTATCTAGGATTGGCAATGAGATTAACCTATAGATAGGCCGAGTGAACGATAACAATGGAGAGAGAGAGAGAGAGAGTTAGGCAAAGTGTTGCGCTGAACTGAGACGGATATATGTTTGTTGATGGATTACTGAAAACAAACAAATGTTTTAATGGGGAGCCTTAAAGTGTGGGAATTACAGCCATGCACAGCCCCTACTGTTTAGTGCTTAATCTCGTCCCATGCACTGCATTCCATGACAGTTTCTGGGGAGATGTTCATGAAGCGGGGCAGAACTGATGATAGCAATTATTATATGTACATATTACACACACACATATATATATATACATCCCCATGATCTATGGATCAGAAAGCCACTGTTTGTATAGGTTGGAAACCAGGAAATCATAGGCTGGAGGGCGTAAACAAGGGCACCTTTCCCTACACGGTGAGGCTCCCATTTACGATAGTTAAGTTGACGCAGAGAATATGTTACTTTTCTTGTGGGCTTTAAGGTGGATATAACATGACTGGTTGGTGGTTTGGATTTTTTGTTTTCCCATATATTGGGAAGAATGATCCCAACTGACTTTCATATTTTTCAGACGGGTAGGTCAACCACCAACCAGTATAACATGATATAACTATGCTATTCATGGGGTGCATAAACCCATAAACCCACTCACCTTGGTAAGGTACGATTGAGCCGCTTCGCGGTATTTCTGACCTTGCTGGCGGCCTGGCTTGGATCCATCCCCAAGTTGGATGAACAGCTTTCAGCAGAAATGAATTGGTTCAATTGTGTTCGTGTGCTTGATATGGGGACCACCAGGAACCAGTTGCTATGAGATGTGTGATCATCAGATACCACACAAAATTGCTGGTAAATCTCTTTGAAACTCTCTTTGTGTATGATGGTAGACATCAGAAAAAAGGCGTGGGAAACCCCACTTTGTGGGTACTGATCCAGTTGTCATTTTCGAGTTCCCAACGGGGATCATCTATCGAGTTGCCTCAGCCTAAGAGGCCCTTAAACGATGGACAGTTTTGCTTATACTCATCCTGATTATAGTGACCATGGTAGGCAATAAGTAATATATTGTGTTTATACTATTCTATACTATTTCTTGCATTGAACAACCAAATAGGGGGTGGGGGTGCAAGCCCATATAACTGTATGATACTGTATGTATATGTAGATATAATGGAATATCAGGGAATACCGCTAGTTAAATATAGGAAACAAAAAATATATTGGACATATACCAGTTAGGTACCTCATGATATTCCAATATAAAATGCCCCGGCATAGAAATTCCAATGTTTGACAATATCTCAGTTGATAGTACCTGTATTTATTCCAATATTCCATGATATGGACCATGTCACCCGGTTAAATTGACACCTAACATATTGACCAATGAATAAATAGATAAATATATATACATATATATTAGTATTTATACATGTTAATCATAAACCGATTATTAAATACTAATATATGGCAAGTTGGTGGGTTAATCATATCCGATTATTAATCATGATATGGATATTTTCCCACTTGCCCGGTCTGTCTTCGGGGAGCCCTTAGAGGTGACTCGCTCAGGCCACCTCTGTCTTCGGCCTGACGATGACCATCATCCCGTGCCTTGCGGCATTGCGCGGCTGGGGGAAATCTTGCGCAAGGGGAAATGTCAACCAACAAAGAAAGGGGACCTTACCCTCTGGTAAACGTTTACATAGCTATGGAAAATCACCATCCTTTATGGGAAAATCATCTATAAATGGCCATGTTCAATAGCTACGTTAAATTACCATAGGGTATATATATACTTTTTTATATTTGGTATGTATATGTATGTATATATATATATACATATTATAGTTCGCCATTTAAATTTGGTAATTTACCATAGCTATGGAAAATGTTGATTAGTTGTGATTCCTTAACATCACGTCTCAATATGGCGTCTATGTATATGTATATATATATGTATATCAGTCATCCTGGAGTAGAGTGAAGATGTGCATGTCAAACAATCCCACTAAACTGGGAATATATTTGAAAATACCATATTCTATCTATTTCAGATTGCTATTTCTATATATGTATATGCTAGTATCCAAGTATAGATGAAAGCAAAGATTAAAAATCCTGCTGAAACCTGTACATATGTAAATATATGGCACTGAATGGCACTTAATTCTCAATTTTATAGGCTAAACCCCCTAAAACAGGGATCACACGCTTCAGGCATTTAAGGCATTTATATATGAACTGAACTCCTTGATGATGCTTGTCCCATTTAAGCTGGAGGTTATCCCTCTGAAAAAACATGTTTTGTCCTATGCGCCAAGTCTAGTGGGTGTGGCTACATGTCCGTGGCATCCTGCCGAGTCAAGTTTCAAATGATTTGCCTTGTTTCCATGTTATTTGAATGATAGTTACAGATGTTATAGTTCCCTCACCACCCCCAGAAAATGAGGCCTTGCATGCTGATTCCTCCCCAGCCAAATCACAGATCGCCATGTCTACGGTTCACAAAACAACATTTCATTTACCCTCTGGTAGACTAACATAGCTATGGAAAATAACCATCTTCAATAGGTAAATTAACTATAAATGGGCCATGTTCAATAGCTATGTTGTATTACCAGAGGGTACGTTTTTGAACTAGGCGAGATGCTGAATAAAACCGAAGATGCGTTATTTAAGGCTTGGTTCCATATTATACCACTAATTGAGAATATCGTATGATACCGAAGGTTCTCCATGCTTGCCGTGTTTTTGCCCAAGGTTGGTGTACCTGGGGAACTTGAACGAGCGACCTCGCTATGCGCTAGTTGCTTACCTGCGCTGGTGATCTGGTGGTGGTTTGGACGTGCCACTACGGCAGAATCGAAGGTTACACTTGCGATTTAGCTGGTCATTAACCCAAGAATCATCACATATATATATATATGTGTGTGTGTGATATATATATATTATATATATATATGTATATGTATACATATATATATAATATATAGATATATCTGGGTTATAATATGGTCATGAATCATAAACCACTTGCCAAACCGGATGCACCCCCACACGCTCCCAAGACATTTTGTTCGCCCAACCAGTTGGCCACACTGGTTGGCCAGGGACGGTGATTGTTAGAGAACATGCCATCAAATACTCAAATCAATCGGTGCTAGTGAACACTTTGAGTAGTTCCAATTTCTTGGAATATGTTGAATTCTAGGGATCGCCCCGGTATACAGTTTCATAAACCATCTTCCGACACGGGCTCGAAACCAACTGGATTGCGGCCTTCTACTCCATATCCCACAGTTCGACTGCAGGGGATCAAGAGATGATCATCCGCGAAGATGCATTATTCAATACGATAGATAAATGTTTGTTTGTTTTTTAAGCGGAACATATGATATGTTAATATATGTTAGATTTACCCTCTGGTTATTTAACATAGCAATGGCCCCCATTGATAGATGCTTTAAACTTGGCGATTTTCCATAGCTCAGGTCTACCGGGTGACCGACTACGAGCCCGGAGAATGTTCCCTGAAACAGCTATTGGTGGGGGAACTTTGGCATGGCTGCCATGGGTGAACCTTTCAGTTGAAGGGCTGTGGATTCCTGATAATTGCCGTAGATACCACTATATATATATATATCCAGTATTGTTCGTGTTTGATAATTGAGGATGCCCAAAGGTGTTTGTTTTCAGGGCTGTGGCCAAAGGTTCAGACAATGGTTTGAGAGAGATACCCGGGTCTTAAGAGGCCATAGGGCTAGTTGACTTGGAAAACTGTCTGGTGTTTTTTGTCTACAAATGCGGGAAGATACAGCCCAGCTACTTTTTTTTGGGGCACAGGACCCTAACCATAGGGTTCCTCAAGCCTCATCGGGGTAAAAGGATCCTTCGAGAACCTTTTCTCCTGAGGGTGATTGCCTTGGTTTGGATACCAAGGAGGTCAGAGGAGGGACTTTGCCCTGATTCAATTTTGTTCTTGGATATGGAGCCAGACAGCCCGATGCCAGAACAAAATGCCGCCCTTGGTGGCAAGGGCAAGCCGGTTACCAACTCAGCCGTCAAAAGCCGAAAGGCCGAAGGGGCAGCCAGGCTGGTGCTCCCCAGCGGCCTAGGGGCATGCGGCCAAGGAGTCCAAACAGCATTGGTGAACAGCGGAGGCCAAACGATCTCCGCTTTGTCGAGGCATTGGCTACGTTGGTCAATTTACACAGATTTTGCGCAACAATTTACCCATTAAGGTCAATTTTGGGAAGAGTCCCAAGTGTGCAGATGCCGAATTTGATGAATTTAATGTAACTCCGAGACCATGCGGTGTTGTCACGGCTTGCAAGCAGGTCTCTCATTCAACCTTCAAGATCTACAAACTGGTGAGCATGTTTTTCTTGACAGAATATAGGTAAAGAAAAAACACGTTTGTGTTCTTTGGGGGCATTCTTGAAATGCGCGTGACAATTTGGGCCGAAAAAGGAGGTGCTCATTTTTGCTAGCGTTTCTTGATCCTCCGAAACCGACCGCCAGACAATATATATCCCCCTGTACATATAATTATTATGATCTTATCCTTATGGTATTGTGTGGTGTTACTATCCAAATTGTCCAAGGTTCGCCGTGGGCCCTACTTGGATCAGCTGTGGCCTTACTAGTAGGTTAACAGGGTTAAGATGGTTAGCTAAGTATTTAGCTAAGGATGCTAAGTATGCTAACTGTTTGTTTTCTGCATTAAGCAATTGCATTTCAAAATGTAACCCTGCTGGCAAAAAAAAATGAAAAGATAGAGGATTGTTTCTGGATTCTTTGGAAATGCTTGGCTATTTTTTTCTTGATGCGAAGAAACAAATTCATGGCAATCAGTGTTTGGGCATCTCTTTGGATGCTTGCTGGTCAGGCAGGCTTTTGACATTTAATTACAGCAGTGTGCTGAGCCATGCAAGGCTTGCAGAAACAAAAGCAACCATGAGAGGCTTAGCATCATTGAAGCCATGGAAGGCTTGCATGTCAGGTAGCCATCAAGGCTTGCACACATGTGCTGAGCCATGCCAGGCTTGCCAAAAAAAAGAGCCATAAGAGGCTTATCATCATTGAAGCCATGGAAGGCTTGCATGCTAGGCAGCCATCATGAAAGGCTTGCATCTTGCAGCCAAATGCTTTGCCCTCCCCCAGGCTGCAAGCTTGTTTTGGGCACTTCACCGCAGATGGTATGGGACCAGGGTCATCAATCCAGCCCTGGTTCTTGTATATGTGACAGAACCCAAGATGTCTTTGGCTGGCAAAATGCAGATGCCTGCATGTTCTGTCCAATTGGCATTCCCCAAGCATGGGTCTTATGTCAGAAGACTGAGTTGATCAGCCAAAGCAAAAGCACATTGTGAAAAGCTGAAATTGACCAAAATCTGGGCTGCATCCCATTTGTTCAAGGCATTGATGAGGACCACATCTCCTTGAGCTGCCAGATTTCCAGAAGACAGCACCAGGTTCTTACTGATAAAGATGTCATTGCTGGTAATTCCAAGGTGCTCTTTCAAAAATTCCTTCAACTTGCAAGGTGCTTTGGATTCTTTTTCCAATGCATTCAGAAGCTTCTGGTTCGACTCTAAGTTGTGGAGCTGCTGGGAAAGAATCTCTGTATACAAGCTGTCCTCAAAAAACTTCAAATTTTGTATTCTGGTTGCCATGGCAGTCACCTCCTTATGCTTTCTCTCCATTGTCCAAGCTGGCAAGAGCATATTGTGGCACTCCAAGGAATCACCATAATGCAAATTCCAATGAAATTTCCTGATACAGAATTGGCCCCATTTGGCAACTTTGAAAAAATGCAAAGTTTCTTCAGCACATTTGTCTAACTGCTGTCCTGACACCACACCATGCTGTGTAGCCAGGAGGAGATCCATCATCTCACAAAGCTTCAAAAAGGCAGTTGTCTCTGGGCCACCAGCACCTTGCTTTTCCATTTTCTGGACATAATGTTGAACAATGGGGTAAACACACAAAATCTCACTGGCAGGAATCTTGACTTTGAAAGCTTTTCTGTAAGAATCCACTTTGGCAGTTGCAAACAATGAAGGCAAATTGCACACTTTCTTGAAGGCAGCAGGCAATGTCCATAGGCTGCAATAAGTACCCATGTTTTTCCAAGACTGCAAGCCCATTGTGTTGAGGTGCTCCAAAACTAGGTAAATACCAATATTGAGACATCCATTGGAGCACATACCATGCATGTAGTCATGATGGAATTGTGAGATGGGCTTTAGCCATGGCCTCAAGGCAGCAGAGCTCAAGATTCCTTGGGTAGAAAAATTCCATCCAGTAGCTTGCTGCCAATCTTGGAATTCTGCTGGTGAGCAACTTGATCTTCTTGCTGCTAATCGATCAAAAGAATTCAGTGCATCATTGTCAGTGGCCAGCACCAAATCCTTTTTGCTTATTGCTCTGATAACAGCATTGTCAGGGTCATCATCCTGCTCAGTCAAAAAAACAATTTGATTGCAGCATTTCAAGCAGTAATTGCTACCTGCATCTCCTTTCAAGCCAAAAGTGATTTTTTGGCTGGCTCCATCTTGAACAAAGAAGCCAAGCTGGTAGTGAACTCTGAACTTTTGGCCTGCTGGCCCATGCAATACCAAACCAATCTCTGGTGGTGTTTCCATCGACACAAATATCATCTCCATGATGACCCTCATGACTTGGCCCATGTGGCCTTCCAATGTTGCCACTATGGAGCTCCTGCAAATGAAGAGAGGCAACCAATGTTGAGTTTGGGATATGGCATGCCTTCCAATTTCTTTGAAAGTGCCATACACTACCCAAACTTTTTTGGCAGCTTTGCCTAAAGCATTGGCTGGCAAACATTCATCGCGGCAAAGGATCAAATTCCACATCATGTTTGGTGATGAAGGCTGTGCAGTGAGCCCTGCAGCCATGCATTGAAAGAAGCTGCCCCCCAGCTTGAAGCTGGCATGCAAAAGGCTTTGAAAATTCACCACTTGCAACTGAATACTTGTTCCATCAGTTTTGAAGAATTCATGTGACACTAAGAGGCTGCCATAGGTGAAGAACTGGGCCAAATGCTGCTTAGCAGCTTCAGTCATTTGCTTTGGATTGTTCAGCTCAGGCACACCATGCTTTTCAATATCTTTCAAAATGCCATGCAGGCTTGCTTTGCTACAATTCGGAATTGATCTTCTCAAGTTGTTGAGTCTCTGAAGCTTGGCAGGCCTTTCTGCACATTCATCTGCTTTTCCCATATGCCCAAGTCAAAAAGCAAGCCAGGACATGGCAGCAAACAACGACTCAATCAAGAACTGCTCTTGTAAATGAATAGTGGCAGTTTGCAAAAGAGTTGGGCCACAAAACATGTGAATAGTGGAAAGGTAGAAATGCCTGCATGCTGGGAAGCTGTATGTATACATTGTCAGTGAAGTGCTTGGCCCAAAAGGCAGGACACATGTTTTCCATGAGCTGAATGGCAGGCAATGAAATATTTCAACCAGAAGCCAGTGCAGGCTTGACACACATTGCAGGCTTGACACCCAGAAGCCATGCAAGGCTTATTGGTGAAGCAGCCATGGCAGGCTTGCCAAACTTCAGAAAGCTATTAAAGCTTGCAAGTGCACACCTACATTAGCCATGCAAGGCTTGTTGGGAAAGCAGCCATGGCAGGCTTGCCAAACTTGAGAAAGCTATCAAAGCTTGCAAATGCAGAGCTACATGTGTCAGCCATGTCAGGCTTGAAGCAAGAACAGAGCCATAAAGGCTTGAAACAGAGTGAGGCCCAGCTTCCTTATCCTTTTTCTTTCCATTTTCCTGCCAAAGACTTGAACTCCAAGATTGGTTCCTAAGTTTTCCCAAGACGCACAGCATCCAATGTTTCTCATTGAATTTGTGCAAACCCCAAAAAAAGAAGCACAAAGCTGCTGCTTCAAAGCAGTTTGCAGCACCTACTTCTTGCCAGTGGCTTCAGCCCAGTCCTTCCATTCTTCCCTTGAGTAGAACTTTCTACCTTGAAAGGTAGGTTTGGAGCAGGATGCACAACCCCTCACATTTCCCCTGCAAGAGCTACACCCCCAGCCTTGAACTTTCTTCTTGGCTGGTTTGCCTTTCTTGGAAGCACTGCTGCTGGCTTTGGCAGCTGGCTTCACTTGGGAAGGGGCAGCAGCTGGCCTTTTCATCCCTTTGCCAGCAGCCCTTCTGCTTGCCAACTTCTTGTAAGCTTCATCCTCGAAATCTTCCAAGCTAGCTGTGCCCAAATGTGTTTCCACAGGCACCAGAGCATGGGGAAGTTTTTCTGCCACACTTCCACTTTCAGCAGCATGGCAGCCTCCATCCACAGAAGGAAGTTGCTCAGAAGCTCTGCCATTGGAGGCTGGTTGGCTGCCTTGCAAGCCTGTAGCTGGAGGCCTGCCAACAGAGCCACCCAAGTGGCACCTCCTCTCAGCAAGTTGGTTTGCGGTTTCTCTGTCACACCACTTCTCCATGAACTGCTCCATCTTCTCCAGCAAGCCATATCCTTGGTCAGCTACAGCAAG